GTTGGGTTCCTACAGCCACAATCATACTTGCTGAGTTCCCACAATATATTAAGTTAAACTAAATAAACTCATAGTTATAGCATACAAGATGTGTAAACCTTCTCATTGAATTGCAGCAACCTTTTCAGATAAGTCTTTTTCCAGATGTATATGGGCAACTTTCTTTTCCAGTGCTACCAAAAATTAAAGTTGAATAAAAATACTGCATTTTTATTTTCACTGTAATGTGAGAAAATATGCAATTTTGTTTAATTGAACATACTCCAAAATGATCTTCCTATATTATACGATCATTGGAATTAAATACTAAACAATCCACCAGCATCTCAAAAATCTTTCCTGGTATTGGTCAGCTAAGCTGTTTCTGAAACTCATCCATTTATATTACAAGACTTTTGTAATTTTTAGCTGACATATCACAAGCTCTTGGAGACCCTAGTTTAACAATTATTTCTTTCCTGGCAACTCAGCGTCTCCCTACAAGTTCTGAATTTCAAATTTACAGCTGACTCTGTCTCTACATATAATTCCTTTGTGACCTTCCTCTGACCCATTTTTCTGCCTCCTGCAGATTTTCCACTTATTTTTCCATCCATGCACTGAAATGCTTACATTGCAATGTTCTGATCAATGGATATAGATATGATGATAATAATGATACATGACTACTTAGGATTATAGAGAGTAAACTAAACACCAACACAAAGTTGAGTTAATGTTGGAGGGATGATTCCCCACACACTCTACTCCCAAATTATATGTACTTAACGATTTAATTTGTGATCCGGATTAATTGCTAGGTTTATTCTACTGCTATTATTTTCTAAGTTTTCATGCAGGTTGTAATTAGTTAAAGCTAATACTTAACTATTTTTTAAAGGATGGGGTTTATGTGCTGTATATTTCTAGCCTCAAAACAGAGGGGCTAGAAAATATTTCTTCAATTTCCTAAGAAATTGCTTGGCTGTCTTCCTGGTCTGTAAAATTTGAAGTATTGTGTGAAACTGCTTGTAATCAAAAAGAGAAGACAAACATGGCGTGGAAGCTAACACACACACACACACACACACACACACACACAGAGAGAGAGAGAGAGAGAGAGAGAGAGAGAGAGAGAATTAATACCACTCCTACTTGCACTGCTACTTTACAACAGAGAGCAAAAATATTGATATAATTGGTAGCAAGTATCTATTTAAACCACCTCTGCCTTTATTTATGCTCTGCAGGTTTTTTTCCTACAGTGGAAGGCTATTCCATATTTTTTTTGTTAATACACAAACAACATTCTCAGTCTTTAGATTATTTATTTGATATTGCTTTCATTAATAACATATACAATCATGAGCCACTCTTGTGACATGCCACTACTGGCTGACAACATTCAAAGCAGTGTTATGCTCACATACAAGACATAGATGCACTGTAGTCATTGCACTAAATATTTTTACTTCTTGTGCTAGGAGATGAGGACTCAATGTAGAACGCAATTATTTTCCATAGTATCACCCACTGGTTGCACATAGATGGACTTTATGAACTGAACTGACAGAGGGAGCTTCAGGCTTGTAAACACATCACTTCACATATGAACTAATCCATAGGAATCACTTGCCATTTTTGCTCAGGTGCAAGGTGCAAGAAAGTCCTGAAACTTGTAAACATTGTCTTGAAACCCAGCAAAGAACTGCAATTGTGGTTTGCCATATGGCAGAAGCCTAGAACTGAAATTTGCAAGTGTAACATCAACGCTCTAGGGAGAATATAATACAATAAGGCAAAACTGAGTTCAACTAATATAGGTTGTATCTGAAGCCTGCTAGCATTTGAATTATGACAGTACATGAGTTGGGCCTTTGCTCTTGGACAAAATCAGCTCTTACTTAAAGAAGAACAGTGATATAAACTTCTGGAAGCTTCTTCACATATTGACTACTGCTCCTAGGACTGGCATAGACTTTTGGAGGAGACATTATTAGGATCCAAAGAGGATCTTCTTTGGTACACATGAGAAAAGGAAAACATACAACCCCACAACACGCAGGAAAGCTGGTCCACAAAAATATGCTATAAATCGACGTTGAAAATCTACAGGTAAATAGAAGCTGTTTTAACAGAAGGATAAATTCTCTCATTTTGAGGATACCAAAATAATGTTCCTGCTTTTTCCCCCACTGCCTTTCAATATAGATTATCTGGACAGTAATTATTTTAAGATTAAAAGGCATCCATCTTAGGTCTGCTCACGAACCATTATAAGGATTCTAGTCATAGAATATGTCTGTGTGCAAGTATATTTTTTAGAGAGTGAAAAAAGGCTAAATCCCTCTGAGACATTTCAGATCTTTATCAAATATTCAACTTTTCTTGAAAGCAGAAATTTCCAACCTTAATTCTAGCAAGATATAAATGACTGTAAGAACATGCTCGTAGATGTAATCCTTTTCTAGTTATAAATCAATATCAAATAGCTTCCACTACAGCTGTCAATTTTTTTATGGTGAACATCTCTTATTTTCCTTTGAAAATAGATAAGGTTGCTCTGGGTGCTACTTAATACTTTAAATTAAGCATATTAGAATTCTTGAATTCCAGTCTTGGCTAACTCATGTAAACCATGGAGTTCAACCAGTACGAAGTACAGTAATTGTGTATCAGCCAGGCCAATCCCAAGGTCCATTTGGGCTTTCTGCTATGACACATCCTTATTGATTTGTAGTCTGGCACCTACAGCATACTAATCACCTCACTGAAAAAAGCAAGATCACTGTGCATTTTTCCAGCAGCAAAGACATAGAGATATCATCATGTTTAGACTAGAATGGTCTGACAGCCCTAGTTGCTGATCCCAGCAAAGCAGATTTGCTCATTATTAATCATGCAGGGCAAGTATCAGAGCTAAAATGACAGTATTTGAGGGACTGCCACAAACAAGAGGGGATCAACTTATTTTCCAAAGCACCAGAAGGCAACACAAGAAACAGTCGATGGAAACTAATCAAGGAGAGAACCTTCCTAACAGTGAGAACAATCGACCAATGGAAAAGCTTGCCTTCAGAAGTTGTGGGTGCTTCATCACTGGAGGTCTTTAAGAAAAGACTGGACAGCTACCTGTCTGAAATGGTATAGGGTCTCCTGCTTGGACTAGAAGACCTCCAAGGTCCCTTCCAGCTCTATTCTGATTGATTGGTTGATAAAGTCTAGTGTATCTATCTGGTCTACATGGCTTCTAGCTAGATGATATAAAGTCAATCATATATGAGGAGCAATTGATGCTAATGTTTCTTTCAGGGTTTTTGACATGTCCACCAGCCAGTACTGATAATGAATGAAGGCAAACATATGTGTCCCAGGATAATGTTGCAGGATCCAATCTGGGTCAGTCACCAGGACCAGAGGTTTAGTCTTCTGAGCTTTCAGTCTCATGCTGGAACCCCATCCTCAGGGAACTTCTCTCTCACCCGAAATAGAGAGAGAGAGATTCTGGTGAGAGAGACATTCCTTGAGGATGGGGCTCCAGCACAAGCCCGAAAACTCAGAAGACTAAACCTCTGGTCCTGGTGACTGACCCAGATTGGAACCTGCAGTACTGATAATCTGTAACAGTGGCTTCTCAACTTCAATAACTTTAAGCTGTGTAGATTTTAACTTCCAGAATTCCCTGGCCAGTCATATTGGGCTGGGAAATTCTGTGAGTTGAAGTCCACACAGCTTAAAGTGGCTGAGATAGTGAAACACTGGTCTGTAAGCTTCACAAAATGTATTAGCAGGGTGAGCAGAAGCAAAGCCTGTTAATTTAAATAGTATCTGTTTTTACTCCCCGCTTCCCAAAGCAAGGAGGTGCACAAATGATGCTTTCGAGAAGGCAAAAATTGAACAGGTTCTGCTGGAAAAAGATTATATCCTCAGGTTCATTTCAAAAACAAATGTATTGGGACATTGCTGCTCATCACATTTATACGCATACATTCAGTTTTTATTAATGCTTTATATATCTCTAATGTGTGAAAATATAAAATCTGTGCTTATAACATTTACTTTTTATAAAGCTTATGCACAAATATCTTTTTTAAAAAAAAAATCAGTGCAATAAATGGTCACCTTTCCAAGGAGAGTTGGTGTCAGTGTAATATTGGAAAGTGAATTCTGAAAATTGACTATTAGATATGGCTGAATAAATTGAAAATCTAGTTATATAAATCTTTCGTCGTGATTGTTGTGGGCCTATTTAGCATTTTCCTTTTTAAAAAAAAAATGGGGGACTTTTTAAAATGAAGTGTTTAGTTACATCTGTCTACTGGGAAACTGGAAATTCAGTCACAGATCAATTTCCCTCCTTTTTTGCACATGTATCCAAATTTTGGAAGCATGAAGGAGGGGGTAGGTCAGAGTAGAGTTTGGAAAACTTCCAATAAAGGATGAAGAAACAACTCATGGAATGTTCTTTGAGATTCCAAAGATTATTTGAGGGAAAACTATTACAGTTTAAACTGAACTATAGCTCTCATCCTCATTGCTTTGAGCTGATGAGAACTAAAGTTTAACAACATGCAACATCTGTCATGTAAACTAAAACAAGAAATAATCTAGGTTTCTAATGCTGAAATACTGATTTTATTTATTATTTATTAGATTTCATTTTATCCTGCCCTTATTACTTTATAAATACCGTAACTCAAGGTGATGAACATACAGTACATAATACTCTTATATTCTTATATTTATATTCTTATCTGTTGTCTATAGCATTTTGGTAAACAGATAAATGCCTATAAATACAATAAATAAAGGTGAAAGTAGTCATTTGTGCAATCCATGCCCATCTCATGATCTTAGCAGCTAAAAGATTTGATCTAAAACTTGATCTGAATCTGCCCAGCATAGTTTGGCGTCAGTAACATTCCTCTTGATTCTGTGCACACTGAATGTTACCTAACCAGGCTTCTTGATCTTTTGTTTTTCTTCCTCTCCAGGTGATTCTTACATGACCGATTTTATTTCTACAAACCGCTGTGAAACCACATCTCCAAAGCAGGAGTAAATATAAGAACAGACCCGATCACAGACACCACCAAAAATAGCCACAGGAAGATCCGGTCAAGAACCTGAGCTACAAACTTCCAGTCTTGCACTACCTAGGAGAAGCGAAAAATGAGTTGTGAGTTCAATGCTTATTTTATACAACTGAAGTAATGCTTTAAAATATACTTGGGACTTAGTCATCAACTTTCAGCATTCAAAGTATGCAAGGCTCGGAAACAGAGATTTTAGGAATGGTCTTTATTTTTATAGGATTTTTTTTTTTTTTAGAGTCTGTTAGAATTTCTGTCTACTATATCTTATACAGTACCACCCACCCACCACCCCAAAAAACAATCAGATGGAATTACTCTGGGTTTTTAATCTTGTACTTTCTTCTTTCCTAGGACTGAGTGGTCTGTTCTGAACCTCTCCCAGCTTTAATGGGCCATTTAACTCTTCTCCATTCCCAGAGCCAAGTTTACATTCCATCATATCAATTTATGCTTGATAAACCTGTGAAACACACAACAGACCACTAAGGATACATGGCATTAGGTGGAGGTCACCTTCAGATGTGGTGTAAGCCTATTGTTCAATAAACATTGATACTATCTTTAGGGGATAGTGAATATTGGGCATGGTTCTAATAAAAGTTATGCAAAATTATTTTTTTTCAATGCAGCTGACCAAGCAGACCCAGCATAAACCAAAAGTTCCCACTTGTCTCTTTCACTCATATATATAGGATTGCAACATGGACAAACCAAAAGCAAATTAAATCTAGTGAGCTGCTCATCCTCAAGAAATAGCTCGTTTCTTAACATTTTTTTATCTTATCTCTATGGTAACACTGTTAAGGTGGTTGGGCTAGTCTCCAATATAGACACTGATGAAACCTGCTTATTGTCATTGTGTGCCTACGGGCCCCAATGTGTGGCTCAGCTTGCAACTGTATTATACTGTACTATGGTGTGGGCATTGCCTAGCTACGGTCTGGCCACATGACTGGCACTCCCTGGGCAACGTGAAATGGTATCTAAAGCAAGCCCGATGGCAAAGACAGATTTCTAGGCTTAGCAATCCACTGATTGTCTACCTAAAAAGTAGATATGAATTTGTATTCATTATATCCTTTTTATGTTCTGTGAAGTAGAACTTTAAAAAAAATCCTCTAGCAAAATAAGGTGACAGTCAAATCATTTAGGGAATGTTACATAACCAATAGAATTCACCAGTTAGGTAAATTAATTATCTAATTCTGTTTCCCAGATTAACAGTGATAAGTGGTATTGTCAGTTAGAGCAGAAAATATATACAGAAGCCTGGAATGTATTTATGCTGGGAGCTAATAATTTATAATAAGTATATACATGCATCAGACTAAAATTAAATCTAACATTAACCAATCTCCAACTTTAACTTCATTCTCTTTTAAAATGCCAAGCACAATTATTTCTTTTAATTTTACACAAGGTGAACAGAGTAAAACATGTTTCTTTGATGAGCACTAGTCAATTTTTAATGGATTATCTAGGATAAAGAAGTTGACAGGGTCTGCAACCCTGTCCCAGCCATCATTGCAAATGGTCAGGGATTACTTTTTCTTCCTCTAAAACCTGGCCAATGTTGGATTAGGAGAATCCTGGCCCACTTTTCCAAAGTGTTCTATATTTACAAATGTAAGAAGAGCTTTTTCAGAATTACTTTATTCCAGGTTTGCTATGACCTGATGATTGGTTTAAAATTACAGGTTTAACTTCTTCTGTAACTTTAGAACAAGAATAGAATAAAATTCTTTATTGGCTAAGTGTGATTGGACACACAAGGAATTTGTCTCCAGTGCATAAGCTCTCAGTGTACATACAAACAACAAAGCGATAGGTCGTAGATCAAAAATCATAGTTACAATCAATCATAAGACACAAACAACAAGTGATAAATCATAAGATACCAATACAGAAGGTAGTAGGACTGAGAAGATAAAATATGAGAAATTAGAAGATGAGAAAGATGAGAAAGATAATAGCAATACAGCTTATTACAGTGGTGGCGAACCTATGGCACGGTGCCAAAGGCGGCACTTGGAGCCCTCTCTGTGGGCACACATGCCGCTGCCCCAGCCTTGCCTTCCCTGCGACCCCCTCACCAGCAGGCCCCCTGGAGGAGAGTCGCCCCCGAACGTGGCCCACACCAAGAAGTGCAGCGAAGGACATGGCAGCCAGACAGAGTAGACAAGACTCTGCCCTCACGCCCCATCGTGCACAGTTGATGCTGCGGGGCATGGGCAGAGGGTGTGGCTGCCATGGCGCTGCTGGGCGATCTGCGGTGGGCCCTGGAGGCGGTGAGTGGCCCTGCGGGCAGGCGGGATGAGGGCGGAGTGGGGGCAGGGCAGGGACTGGAGCGGGGACGGGGCCAGTTTTTGGGCACTCGGTCTCTAAAAGGTTCGCCATCACTGGCCTATTACATGGGTAAATATCTTTAGGCCTAAGACAATGCTGTGGGAATCAAGAGATACGAGGAAAATGAAAAATTGACATCAGCCCACTCTTGCTTCCTAACTTACCTGCCTAATGAAGTGCTCCTTTTTGACATGCCTGGAGATATATCTAATGGAATCGGCAGTTTTTTCCAAGAAGGCAACCACCACCTTTTCTCCATCTTTCAATTGTTTGTGTTTATACTTTCTCAGCTTTGGTTTTAGAGTTCCTTCGGGATCAGTGAAGGCACAGCGATCTACGTGTCCTTTCATGAAGAGCAGCCTGGGCATTTTCTGAAGGAAAAGTCTTCTCACCCAAGGAGCCATGGGATGGTAGGTGGCCGAGGAGCGATGGTGCACGTTAATCACAAAAATTGTCACAATGATTGACAGCGTGACAAAAATCATGATGAACAACAAGTACTCGCCAATCAAGGGTATGACTTTGGAGGAAGAGGGGATGATTTCTTCGATGACCAGGAGAAAAACCGTCAGCGAAACTAAAACGGAGGTCGAGAGTGATAGTTTCTCTCCCTCATCCGAAGGCAAATAAAAAACAAGCACGGTTAAAAAAGATAGTCCTAGGCATGGGATTATTAAGAAAAGTGTGTAGAACAGCGGGAGGCGTCTTAAAACAAAGGAATAGGTGATGAATGGGTAGGAATATAATCCGTCTTTTCGGTTTCCTTTCATTCCTTTAGCATTTAGGATTTCCCATTCCCCATTGTCAAAAAAGTCTGTCCTATCCACATTTTCGTCCACTAGGATCAGGTCAACCATGCTGCCATCATAGGTCCATGATCCAAATTTCATGGAGCAATTCTGCCTGTCAAATGGGAAGAAGGTCACATCCATCGTGCAGGAACTTTTATAACTGGCTGGAGGTTTCCACACTACAATCCCATTGTACTTAATTATTGCTTTTGTCATTAAGGAACCTTCAAAGCGCCCGTCAGCACTAGAAAGGATAGAGGAGAAAACTGTTCTTAAATTACGTATCATGCTGCTTGTTCCAATTATTTTTTTAACCTCCTGTGTCAGATTTGCTTTTTATTGCAGCTTTAATGGTAGCCCAATTCCCAGTTCTTTCCCCTTGTTTTGAAAGCATACTATTTCTTGTAAGTTCACATTTGTGGAGGTTACGGCCTGCCTACAAACCAGACCTCATAAATAAAACTTTAAAAGATTTAGGAGAGTTGTTCCTTGCGGCAAAACATAGACTCAAATGTGAGGGTTTTTGAGAATGCTTTCTTGACTTACTAGCCTGGGAGAAGTCCCACAATCGGGTTTCCTTAGACTAGATTGTCAGTCATCATGCTTCACATTATGCCTGTAATATTTAATCAATTAATTCTAGCAGGTAGTGATCCTGAGTGAGATGAGGAAGGAGATATACATGAAAAACAACCTTTATCATAGCCGTGCCCTGTACGTGCCGCCACCCTCACATCTTAAGCATGGCTTTAAATTTGTTTTGATGGCTTCAATAGTAAGAAAACTACATTCACTATTCCTCCCCCCAGTTCCTGAAGATCCAAGCTTTTCCTGATATGCCCATGGAATATATTTTTGCCTTTATCCGTTTCATCGCTCTGGGCTCAGATAAGACAGGACTACCTGGGTCTAAGACACCTAGGAAGAATGTTATGGGATCAGATCTTTCCCTCTAAGGTTGGACCGCTTTCATCACCTTTGGACTGTAAGGATTACAGCAACCAACGTTACCTGAAAATACCTTCTCAGTCAACCAAATATGTGGTCTAATCCATTGCTTTTGATCAATTTAAATTATTCTTTATATTAATTAGGAAGTATATTTAAATATTTCAAGAAAGTGCTGACACAGCTAGAACTGCATGAATGTTTTTGGAAGTGAGGCTGAAGCACATGGACTCTTGTCTATAGCGCTTGAGAAAACTTTCTTAGTAAATTTCAAGTAGGCCAAAGAAATTCAGGGACAAATAGAAAACCACTACAAACAACAACAACAAAATCCCCACAGATTTACATTTAGGTTGCTGTGCAAGTCCTTATGGTTGTTGTGTATCATCAACTTTAGCCATGATACTGATTGAATAGTCCTTCAAATAAGATATCCCTCTAAAACAGAGGATTATCTTTGAGAAAGTAGGACAGCTGCCCCCCCCTCACTGTATTAGGATCCCTATACTCACTTTTCAAATAAAACAATATCAGGGAGCCAGAGAGATTCAGATGGAACCCGAATTGCAGTGATACCGCCATAATCTTCAGGATTCCAGCACAATTTATGGTCGATCCATTCCTGCAGTTAACAGCAAAAATGACAGATTTCCATTTCAGTTTCTCAATTAAGTCATCATTCCTAGCTGAGAATAACGGTGGAGAAACTTATCAATCTTTAAGTGACTTTCCAGATATTGCTGGACTACAATTTCCATAATTTCTTACTCTTTGAAATACTGGATGATGCTGTTGAAAGTTTAAGTAACATCTAGACAGTCTGATATTATCATAATCATTTTTTAGGTCAATGCGTAACTGCTAGCCTACTGAATCAATGCTTAATGTAAAAGTTTCTTCTGGATATGGATATAATGTCAGGATTCATATCTATCAATCAACTATAATGTATCGTGTTTAGTTTTGGTTTAGCGTGTTGAATAAAGAAAAGCTTGTTCAACAAATTGGACTTTAAATAAGTGAAAATACCCCTTTTCAATAATGCTGATGAAGGTTTTCAGTCATCAAGGTAGAGGTGTCTGGAAGTTGAGTCATAACAACTGGACTTCTGAAAGTTTCTGAAGACTGAAGAAACTACTTGGACAAACAGCAAAACATTTAAACCAAAAAGAAAAGAAGTTCAGTTGACATGATTCAACTTCCAGACCTTTCCAAAAATGTACCATTGACTTGGGATATCCTCCTCAAAGTCAAATGTCCTTACTATGTAACTTGATTTTCCCAGGATTTTAAAACTTTAGGATGTCCCAGGGATTACCATGTTTATTTAGCCAAGTTTGTAATTTAATATTCTTTCCCAGTATATTTAGTTATTTGCAGTTAATTGCATATCACTAGTTCAGTCAATAAGTATTACATCATTCATGCAAAGTTTTAAACTGATTTGCTTTCATTTCCTAGTTGTTTAACTTGCTATTGCTTCAGTTGCGTTAAGGACATTGCAATTTTTAACCTGTATTTATATTATGTAGATTGTCCAGGTAATTCTCCTTATTTAGCAACTGATCAATTGAATTATTAATAAGGTGTCAAAGCAAGAACATCCGATGTTAGCAGTGTTGACCATGACATAAGGACATCTTCACAGTCAGGTTTCCCCTTCATACAATCTGGTCTAGAGCTTGCCTAGAATATATTTTAGCCCTGAACAACAGACTTCTCATCAGAGCCAACACAGCACTGCTGCCTTCAACAGGATTCTACTAGGATTCTACTTTTTATAAATGTTATGATGATGTCAAAATAATATATAAAAGTATGATTTTATCCATCCGCTCAGAAACAAATAAAACAGTGCCTATCTTCCAGTGTTCTGGGCGAAGAGCCTAAAGGTACAAGTATGAGAGACAAACACTTGGACATTTGAACACTTTCAATTTTAAAAGAAGATAAAGCCTACCAAATCTTTATCATTTCCCAGTGAATATTGTAATACTTCTCTCTTTCCCACCTCTGCCTCCAGATTTTTGGCTGGAATACAGCCATGTTGGCCATACACCAAATTGTTTCAGTCCGAGGCAATGTAGTCAGAAGACTATAAAAAAATGTCAGAGTTGCTGTGGGTCAAGACATCATACAGCTACATACCTGATGGCTGTTTTTGTTTTTGTTTTTAATGCAAGGAGTAGCCTAGGGAGACAATTGTGACCTTTGAAAATGTAACAGCATCAATTTTAGCAGTCTTCACAAACTTGACAACATAAAACTTCACCAAGGGGAAGAAAGTGCTGAATAATCTTTGGGGCAGTGGATGGGGGTGGGTGGGTAGGAAATACATAAGTGAACATAACATATCAGGATTGACATTTTAACAAAAGCAAAATAAAACCCTGGTCTCTTCTATTTAGCCTCTTAAAATTATTTGGTCTTGAGACATTGTTAGGTGTCCATCCTTTTTATGCCATGTAAAACCTCCCATGCTGATTTTTTTACAGACTTAAGATACTAATAAAACCCACATCACTTTTTTTTCTCTTGCCTCGTCCTACTTCTGTTGACTTCACACTGCACTGCGTAACTGCTGCATCTCAGAACGGAGTCATTCTTACAGTAATAAAGAAAAATCTCTCTACTTTTATTTATTATTTATAAAGATTTTTTTTATTGCCTTGTTGGTAATGCAAAAGCCAGAAGAATGAGAGTGCTGACTAAAATCAATATTAGCAATGAAAGCTTCTTCTTGCAGAGAATTTAGACAGAGAGTTCTTACAAAATGGAATGCCTCCAAATTCTTCCATTCCGTATGTTATTGTTTTTTTTCTTCAAATAACCAGCCCCTTTGCATCATTTATACTTCATCCGTTTGCATGACTTACATCAGAGGAAAAATTGTGGTTTGTGGGTTTTTGTTCATGGCCTCTCATCTTCTCCATAATTGTCTTTTGACCCTGGGCAGTGCTTTTTTTTGGAAAAAAAAAGGTGCCGGAACTCACACATGTTATACAACCCGCCTTGCCTACCTACCCTACAAGGTTCCATCCCAAAAACTCCGTTCTGGGCATTCTATGACAAAAAAAGCCCGGCCCCTGGGTCCTAACACCCCTGGTTGTTCTTCCCCCTTTGTACTATCTGGACTGCATTTCTTGTACGCCTTTCCTTGCATATCTTCCCCAATACCCCACCAGCTATGATTCTTCTCAACCTGCCTTCCTCACTACATTTTCCTCTATGGCTTCTATGGCTTCTTTTTCTACTTTTCTCCTGTAACCTTCCTCCAACCTTCAAAATGCATCTCTCTATATATATTACTCTACAGCTCACACTTTCTTCCTGTGCAATCTGTTTTTCTCCCATCAGTGCTAAAAGGTTTTTTTTTTAAATAGTGCTATTACAACCCTAATAGCATAATCAACTAAAAAACAAAAAAAATAAAAAAAACAGATTCTACAATAAAATACAAAAGGGGTTACTCTGAAGGGGGGGGACTCTTGACTTGCCATCCAAAACACCATCTGGTCCTCAAGCCAATAGAAGTTACACACTTCTGACCTACATAATGCATTTTGATGTTACATGCTAAATGTTCACAGCTCTCTTGGATGCATTCCACAGAAAATAATAGGCATGTTCCGGGCTTCCCAAGGAGTGAAAAGAGATACTTCGAACTAAATATGCACAGAATTGGACTAAGTCCCAAAATATCCAACATATGCTGCTATTTCTCCCACTTGTTAAATTTTGGCCAAGTCATCTGTGGAGATGGGCCACCATGGGAAAATTTGGGATGATGAAATTGTAAATGAGGTAAGCATCCCTCCTTCACTGCTCAAAAGGCTGCTTCCAGGTGGCATTATTTTAAGCCATCATCAGGTCTCTGCAGTGCTTAATTTTTAGTACATTAACTCATTCTCTTTATTTCATCCTATTTTCTCTAATTAAGTGGTGTAATGTGCTGAGAAATTATTCGCCCTTTCTGAAGCTTATGTGCTTCTGATATTAATAATCAATTATATACTGGAAGTAAATGATGCAGATTTAATTTTTCTCATTACTTTTCATTATGCTGGCTTCTCCAGAACTGTTTGTTTTTTTTCCCTATGTGACTTAAGCAAGGTCATTCACATTTTTATCAAAGACTGGGTTGTAAAACCTGGGGCTTTAGAGTCACATGCACCCATTGGTTTATTTCATGCTTGTTTCTAATGCTTTTAGCAATTAATAAATTCAAATCTCTAAGAAAGGCTACTTGTCACCTCCCTGATGTTTGCTGTGGGGAGAAGAAAAAAGCTGTTGGAGGGAGGGAGGGAGGGAGGGAGGGAGGGAGGGAGGAAGGAAGGAAGGAAGGAAGGAAGGGAGGGAGGGAGGGAGGGAGATTGGGTTACCACTTTTTGCTCTAGCCCACTCCCTGTGTAACCAGGTCCTTTAAAGACCACTCTTCTGAGTACCAAGTTCCCATGGAGTAGTCAGCCATAATTTTAGACACTGCTGAGATGAGATAGCAAGTATGTCCAAGGGATACACAGAACAGCAGATAGCGATCTTTTAGTATAATTATTGGAGTTGTAGTCTCACATTTGGAAAAAAAATCAGCTTAAGGAAGCTGAATTGTAGAAATATATTTCAGTATATGAACCAGAACCTACTAAGTCTAAGTTTGTTTGTCTTTGTACAGTGACTGAAAGAAGTTTCAACCTCAATCCAAAGTTACTGTTAGTCATCCAAGCTCCACAAACCTATAGCCAGAAAGTCAGGCAGATATATATGAAAAAAGGAAACAGTCCTATAGGTTTTCACCTTCCCAGTCCTCAAGCTCCAACCCTCTCTCGTATGCTAGTAGAGGACACCTGGGCACCAGAAATTCAGAAGATACAATGAGTTGGTTAATTGTCTGATTGTTGGAGGTTCTGACTCATTGTGGTTGCAACATCAGCAGAAGCGAGCATTACAATTATAGCTAATTCTCCACGGAGGTTTTAAAAGAAGTAAAATTTCACTGACGTATTAACTATGCAATATCCCTGTTGTGTGATGTTGCTCAAAGGCTGCTCCAGTTTACATACGCAAAGACAAAAGCAATAAGGCTGATGTGGGTTTATATTTAATGAAACAGTCTAATTCCCTTTCCTGAATGTCACATGTGCAAGCCACAGTTACAATGTCCTCTATTGTAACTGTTGAGTAACTTAAATAAAATGCACAAATGCAATTCATAAGGGAAAATCCAAAGCGGACATTTTATATATAAGATAGCAGTGTTGCTGTTGATCATACTGAGCTAGAAGGAGAGATGAAGGACTCATTTCTCCTTATAGCCCTAGAGGGCTCATATATCTCATGTAAATATTTTGACACTGTATATAAACAACACAATTAAAATGACTAAATGCAATAATAATCTTACAGCGAATGTATATAAAAACATACGTATTAAAAAGAGATAGAAAAAACAGGCAAGCAAAACCTGTGACACTCACTAGAATAGGGAAGAAAAACAATGCAAAAGCATTGTGGTGCATGACTCCTCTAGAAACTGTACACTTTAGTCAGGTTTGTCATAGCAAAGGTGGTCTACCAGGTTTTTTAGCCTCATATATCAAAATTGAAATCCTGAATTTGGCTCAGGGCCTATTAACATGACATAGTGTACAGCAAGAGACCCACTCAGTCACCATATTCTGGACCAGCTGAAGTTTCTAGATCAACTGCAAAGGTAGTCCCACTTGAAATGCATCACAGTAGCCTAAATGTAAAGCACACACATAAATCACTACTACGCTATCCCTATTCAGGAAAGATATATCTATTCAGGAAAGACCATAGCAGATATGATCCACTGGAGGTGATTGACTAATTAAAATGTAATCCCACCACCCCTCCCCCCATGTGTCTAGCTCCCTCCATTGCCATCTTGTGTTAATGATTTTATCTGCTTTGTTATTTTAGAATTGATACTTTTAATGTTTTTTAATGCTTTTATGTTGTAAGCCACCCAGAGCAATAAGCGAGATGGCCGGCAAATGAATTTCATAATAAATAAAAATAAAATAAAGTTATACCCACTGAAGTTGGTAATTAGTGCTCTTGGTGATATGAGCAATGGAGGAAAATGAGACTCCTGCACAAGGTAGTTCAGTATATAAAGACCATGGCTGACTGCCTCTGTTTCTGGAGAGCAAAATTTCTTACTCTTTTTGTCAGAGTTTCTCTTTAGGACTGGCCCAGTTTCTGCTGAGGAGAATTCTATAGAATGCAAGGCCAAGGATTTTAATTTTTTTGTTCTGTAGGCCTGGAAAATTGAATGAAGGAAAATGGATTGGGACAATTTACTCATACCTGTTAATTTACTTATGTAAAGCTTGCTTTGAATACATGCTTAAGAACATCTGACACTGGTTTCCTCAGTCCCCCTCACCTAACCCCAACAATTTTGTTGAAAAACAAAATTGGGGGTTCTACTACAAGGGTTGCAAATGCAGTGTAAAAATTGCTGTTCAAATACATGAATTAAAACAAAAGCCATTTATGCTAGCATTGATTATGTTAGCTAGTTGGGTAATAAAACACCTGCAAGAAAACAATCAAGCTCAGAGAGCGCCAAGGACGCTACAAATATTCTGTTGGTAAAGCCATTTATATATTGGATGCATTAGATCTGACATTTTTAATAAAGCATTAATTGGCAATATCCTTAAATGTTAATCACATTTAGCCAAATAAAGTGTTGCGTCGTATTGTGTTGTATTCTAACCAAAGTATCTGTGACACAAGCCAATTTATACCCATTAAGGTGAGGCTAGATTTATAGATTCATAAAACCACATTGGAACATCTGTCTTTCACAGGTGAAGATTTATAGGGACATTAAAACTCACTGACTACTAACAGTCCTTGGGGGGGGGGGAATTAAAATAATACATTCTATTTTTACCTGTTTGAGCCATACATTAGTGGTCATTAACTGGTTCTTTTCATCCTGTTGAGAAAGGGGAGGGGGTGGGGAAAAAGAGCAAGCCATTTATTTTTATTTTTTAAAATATCCCCTTTAGAATCAGCTACATTTTCTGATGATATTTTGCTTCCCAGGACGATCCTATATAAAATAATTAAACTTTAATGCTTTGACTAAGATTGCTATTTGTACATAAGGATAGAAAAGGAGGAGGACAGAATTACTTTACAACTGTTTACATATTTATTTGATTCAGAAGTAGGGTTACCAGATGTCTGCAAGAGGAGAATATAGCCTTCTTTTTTGTCCAGCAAGCATAGTCAAATAATGTCAGGCTTTTTGAGTATCTAACAAGCTTTCTTTTCCCCAAGCAGTGTTTTCCCATCACACAATCAGTTCCTTAATCAGTTAACTACAAGTTAAGAAGCTCAGCTCTAATTAGTTGATTAATTAGTTGATTACACCCACCCCCTCCTGCCTGAAATTGACAAGACCTTAATCAGCTGTACCCTGAAGGCTTTTGCATCCTGATCAGCTCTAGCACATTCCTAAGATTGAAAAATCAGTATTCCTCATGCTGGAAAAGTAATTGCATATACATATAGGCTTACCTACTTTCTTTTTCAGTTTTCCTTCTTTTTCTTCCTTTCCAATTCTCTGTGTCCTCTTTTGCCTCTTCAGATGTCTGGTAACCCTATTCAGACACCACCTCGATCTCCGGGCTACCTTCCCTGACACCAAAGTCCCATCTTCCCTGAAGTAAAACACCTAATGTTGAAGGTTGTTCTGGAGCCTTTTATAGCCATGCGGCTGAAATAAATGCAGCTGTTTTGGCTTTGCCCTTCTCTGTGACAAAGGGGGGGGGCTCCACACCAGCAACTGGAAATCTTGCAGCCCAAGGCTGGGACATAACCAGGTCAGATTCCAAGTCTTCAATCATAGAAAAAAACATAGGATGCTGTAGCATCTGGCAAGCAATCCCCTCTGGAATGAGCAGGCCTAGAATCTTGATCTAAACTGGGCCTCATCAAAAAACTTTAAACTCCAGTTCTGGCAAATTATAGCTTCTGATTAGCTACCCTGGCAAGAACCTGCTCACGATACAGGAACTCAGTAACACTTTCCAAGCAATAATACTGAAGGTAATCTATACAGTAGCTACAGAGACTAGTAGCTTTGATAATCTTTGTGTGTGTGTGTGTGTGTGTGTGTGTGTGTGTGTGTGGTGTCTTTCCAAGTCAGTCTGTACTCCTGCTGAATATACAGGCAAGTCCATGAAGTTTCTTGGCAACATTTTCAGAGGTGAGTTACTATTGCCTTCCTCCTAGGGTTGAGAAACAATAACTGACCAAAAATCACCGACCGACCTAGCTTTGTAACAAAGGCAGAACTAGAACTCAAGGTTTCTTGATTTCTAGCCTATCGCCTTTAACCACTACACCAAATGGCTCTCATTAATAAACTTATCCTCCATTAATTTGCCTAATCTCCTTTTAAACCTACCTAAAGTCATCAGAATCAAATTCCATAGTTCAATTACATGTGCTCTTTTTTCTGTCCTCCACCTTTTGCCTCTCAGCAAATTAGAAAACTCCAATTATTCTAGTAAGGCCTGGGAAGGAAATTTCCCTGACCAATTTCTGTATTATTTAGCATTAGCATTATATCCTCCCATGTTATGTAGCATTTTGGGCAGCAATTTCTGTATAGTATGCATAATGTAATGTGTGATTTGGGATTTTTTTCTTCTTCAAGCTTTTTCAAGATTTTTTAATAAATGAATTGTTCTACTGACTTCATCATTATAATGGGCTGCTTACTTGGTATTTTTTCCCAAGTTCGTAATTGCATTTAAAATTCAGTGGCTAAGACAATATATAGCATTTTCCTAAATACAGCATTTGCTCCAAAATATTATAATTACAATTTTATTTTAAATTTGTTCTCCAATGTGAAATTTGCATTATCAGAGCAACTCTAATACAAACCAAGATTTTTTTTTAATTCAATTATTTGTAACTTAAACATTATGAACCTATATAAGAACATTATATGGGAGTTTTTGGTTTCTATTTTTTTCATAGTTACTTACATTGTTTTAACTATTCTAAGTAAACAGCAATTGTGAGCAAAGCTGAACATCCGATTTATGAACGAAACATACATGCACACAGAGAAAGACACCAATCTGGTCAAACTCTTGGAATTCTCTTTCTGCCAGAAGTTACTTTCCCTTTTTAACTCTGTATTCTCTCTCTTGATTAATAACTTAAAGTGAACACTTAAAATGTTGAAAAGAATTTATCCAGAGTCAAATATCACTTAACAACTATTAGCAGACCAAAGAAGATTTCAGTACCAGAAATAATATATTCAGGGATGCAGAAAATGGAAGACCTAACAATAGCAGAATAGTAGAAGAAACTCAGATAATAACAATTGCAAATATAAAGGGAAAAGATAATATGAACTACAGAAATAATAGAATAATTAGAATAATAGCAGAACCAGGACAGGCCAACACAGAAACAACCTATGAACTTATCTCCCAACTCCACCAACAAGAAGAATTAAAAGAGAAAATTATGACATATGAAGAATTACTAAAGACAAAGACTGCCAGCATTGAAAGTAGTGCCCCCTAAAGACCTGGCACCTATACTGAACGATGTGAATAAGGTAATTGTGAGGATTAAAATAACATCTATTGAACTGACCAATCAGCTTGGTACAACAGTGGTCATTACAGAAAAACTGGGTATTGAAATTAGAAAACAAAAAACAAAAAATCATATTTAATCCCAAAACGAATAAATGATCAGACTGGAGTCCAAGATAAAGAAATTAAGATCAGATGTGAGTAATTTAAAGAACATGAAAGAGTGAAAGTTAAAAAATGTAGGGATCAAGACAAGCTTAATAAAAAAAATTGCTTAATATTAGAAAAATCAAAGAAGCTTTGGAAATCATAAAGTAACAAACACTACCGATAAAAAGGATAATTGAATGCTATGAGGCAGGAATCATACAATTTAAGCAAAATCAACTATTTCAATTAGACCAGAAACAATTCTACCAAAGGATAAATGGCAATAGAAATTCTGAAAATGGAAAACCAAACTAAAAGGAACAATTCATTTTTGGAAAGATCTATGGGAAACTCAAAAGACTACAAAAAAAGAGATAAAAGGTAAAAGAATTTGAAAGTGAATTTAATAAAAATCAAATGGGAGACTAATAATAGCAGAAATGATTAAAAATCAAGTGAAAAGAACGAAAAATTGGACATCTGGAAATGATAAATCAAGTCTGAAGCCTACAAATATCTAGGCATTTTCCAGTTGAATAACATTATGCATGGACAAGTTAAAAATGTGATTAATAAGGAATACACCAAAAAAAGTGAATGATGTAAACACCATCAAAGCCACCAGTATCATGGCAATACATATGGTACAATGTACTAGTGGAATTATTAATTGGACAAAAGCTATATTGATCAGTTTGGGACAAAAAAGCAAGAAAACTAATGACTATTCACTATGCATTATATCCTGAAGTTATATTGATAGATTATATCTCCCCCACAGAAATAGAAGCATACTTGAAGTCTAACAAATTTTTGAAGAAGAAAAGCATGCATAGTTGATAATGTAAAAGACAGCCAAGAACAAGCATTGCTGCAAGTCAAAAATTGGAACTTACTGAATGTGCAGGAGATGAAACATGAATATCAAAATAATGCAATGAAAACAAGAACAGAATGCTGGAAAGGAAAAGCATGATCAGTTTTTTTAAAAGATCATGGGAAAACCTGGCAATCCCTGACAACTGGAACATTAGAAAAAGAAACTGAAGGCTTAATTTTGACTGCTCAAGAGCAAGCTATTAAAGCTAATGTAATCAAGGTCAGAACTGAAAAATTGTCAAATGATTAAGCTGCAGATTGTGCAAAGAGGCAGAAGAAACAATAGATCATATACTCAATCCATGCATGAAGATCACACTAACTGATTATAAACAACAATATAACACAGTCATCAAGTCATGTAAAAATGATTATATGTCAGGGAAAAGTGGTGGGAATATAGAGTTGAAAAAGTAATTGAAAAAGAGCTAGTTAAAACATGGGAATTTCAATAAAAACTGTCTTGGCTCATAACGCGCCAGATTTACAGTAACTGTGATTGTAAAGTGTGGATAATTGATGTAACAATACCAGGGGATAGTAGAATAGAAGACAAAGAATTGCAGAAGGTGACAAAGTATCAAGATCTGAAAATCGAAATTGAAATTGAAAGATTATGACATAAAGCAGTCCTGGTGCTCCCAGTGGTTATCAACACATGGGTGTCAGACCCAAAAAATCTTGGACAGCATTTAGAAAATCTGTGTATTGATAAAATTTCCATCTGTCAATTATAAAAGGCCACACTGCTTAGTATATTTAGTATACTATGTAGTATACTATGCTAACACACCATCAAACAACAACATCTACCTATCCCAGGTCTTTGGGAAGGACTCGATTGGTGGATAAAAATACTAGATCCAGTCTGAACATCTGGCTGACTGTACGACGAATCATAAAAATACACACACATTCATAAAATCTTTGCAAAATTGTTTTATAGGGCTGCAAGTATAATCATACTTTGAAAAAAAATTGCATTTGTATGCTTAATAATAAAAGATCTATACTGACTATAAGATCTGGAGGATATGTCTTTACACCTTTTTCAAGCAGATGTAAACACACATGCGCATGCATACACAAAGAGTGATCCTTGAAGTTTCCAGATTACCCTGGTGAAGAACAATTGAAAGAAATTATCAAAGGGTAGAATAGCATGGCTGAAGGCCCCAAGATATTTCATTATATTTTGACCAGTCCTACACCACCTGTGTTTATAATCTATATATTCTGGCCCCAAACTTTATGCAAGCACATACAAACAAATAAAAAAGAATGAAAAATTTGCATGCCTTCCTATAGTCTCATACCTTTCTGTATCTGTATTCCTGAACTGCCACTCTTAAGACCCCCCCTTAAAGCATGCTGGCTGAGGAATTCTGGGAGTTGAAATCCATAAGTCTTAAAATTGCTCAGTTTGGAGACCCTCGCCCTAAAGCAATAAGAGTATATTTTGCTCTCCTTTTGCAGCTTTATTCAGCTTGGATTTGAGCTCCCATGATCCCTAATCAGCGTGGCTAATGGCTATTTGAAAAAATAGCCAGTCCTAACATATCATGCTAATTAAATAAAGAAAAAAACAATTTTGCTGTTGTTAAGTTGTTAAATGTTTTTTAAAAAGCCATTTACAAGATTGATAGAGACAAACAGGAACAGGAACATCTCTTATCAAGGGAAATAATGTGAAGGTTTCTATCAAGGAATGTCAGAAAAAATGGTTTGAAGATTACCTACCACATCCACAAGCTGAGAGATCTTCAGTCCAAAATATACCTTTATAGTATCATTAGCATGTTTTACTGGCCTGATCCATTTCTGATATCCATGAAATAAGTGTCGTAAAAGGGCATCTTCATGCTCAGCAAATGAACTGAACACAGTGAAAGCTGAAAGACAGAAAAAAGGAGAAAAGGCAGAAATAACTAACTAGAACTATCATATAAAGCATTGCAATAGCCTAATAATACAATTGAATTAAAATCATAGGCATGTCATATACATGTTGTTCTAGATGCAAATAGAATATTTTTTAAAAAAAAACAGTTGGCCAATGGTAACTTTCAAGACTAATTCCAGTGGAAACTTTTGAATCATAAATAATTTAAGTAGCTATGTAAGGGACAATTTAAATGTATGCCATATAATTATTACTAATATAGGAATGGCACTCAGGACAATGTAGAATGTGAAATGGCAGCTTGGACAGAATGAAAAAGTCTATGGCAATATATAAATTTTAGTAGATGGACTATATATAACAATCTGGACCTATTTCCAAATGAAAGCAATTTTAGGGGAAATTTTAGGATCCGTGCCTCCCATCTCTATTTTTGAAACACTGTTCAGGATGACAGGGCTCTTATATTTTTAACAGTTGCCTAGATGTCTATTTTTAGTTTTTCGTAAACCGTCATATTGTACAGAGGTGAGAAAAGCTGTAAACATCATTATTCCTCCCTAAGCACCTACAGTACTCTCTTCATAGTAGAGAACTATAATCTTTATGCTACATTTCAAGGAATACTTCTATTAAGTTCTTATTAAGCAGTTTTACATGGTTTGCCTAAACATTGTTTTTAACAGCCTCAGTTGTTGGGGTTCTAGGTCACAAATTGTGGTTTGCAAATCACAGTGACTAAGTGGATACAGTACAAAATAACTGATTTTGTTATGTGAAAATTCAGTTATTATGTTTGGTGTTCAGGGATGATCTCCACTGATTGAAAAATTGAGTGATTGTATCATGTAATGAACTTTGAGAATAACCATGGGAGACAGGAGGAAGAGCTGCAGCCAGGGCAACTGTCAGACAAGGAATAACTCAGCCCACATAAGGAATTGGGGTTGGAGAAAGCATTTCAGAAGGGACCCTCCCTAGTTCTCTGGAAAGCAAAAATAAGGGAAATATAAGTCTTAAAAATCAGTCTTTCAGACTTACGACCTTCTGTTACTGTAACCTTACAATATAGGTAGTGTTAGTACTCATGGAATTGGTTTTCTGTCTGGACTACCTCAAAGGACTGACCTGTAATTTATTGGGTGTGCTGATCTTTCCGTCATACAAACAAATGTTTAAATAACAGTAGAGTGAAAAATATAATCCTTGGGGGAGATGGATGGGAAAGAAAGAAAGAAAGAAAGAAAGAAAGAAAGGAAGGAAGGAAGGAAGGAAGGAAGAAAGAAAGAGAGAGAGAGAGAGAGAGAGAGAGAGAGAGAAAGAGAGAGAGAAAGAGAGAGAGAGAGAAAGAAAGAAAGATAGAAAGAAAGAAAGAAAGAAAGAAAGAAAGAAAGAAAGAAAGAAAGAAAGAAAGAAAGAAAGAAAGAAAGAAAGAAAGAGGACATATATGAGGACAACTTATTTCATAAGCTTTCAAAATGAGATAATTTGGTTGAAGGTCAATAATATTTATGAAAAGTTAAACAAAGATAAGTGAAATTACTAGCATGTCAAATGTCATGACTTTTAAAAAGAGAGAAAAGAGGGGAAAATATCAATGCTTGCTACTGCAAATATTGCTGCAGCAATTATCAAACATAGTGGTGTGGTGGCCACTTGTTCAGTGACTATTCAAATTTACACTGATGCTAAATGAGTGGTAGTTATGACTGGTCCTCATGCTTATTTTGGTCACAGTGACACACACACCCCAAGTTACAAGGTTGCCATTTGCAACCTTTTTTGTTGGCTCTGCACATGCAAATTCAATGGAGAAGCCTGCAGATAGTGGTCACATGACCTCCTCACTTAACAACTCATGGTAATTTGCTTAATGGCAGCACTCAGAAGCATTGGAATTTCTATGGCTAAGGAGCATGGTCATGTGACATCAAACTTTGTGACCACCTTGCTTAGGGATGGAAATCCCAGTCCCAATTGCCATTGTTCCGTGAGGAAAACTGTAACAATAAATGCTGCTAACATTTCTAGCTATTTTTTTCCATTTAGCCATAGAAATGTCAAATATTAACTTAATTCTGCAAATTCAATGAGTATCCAGAAACAGCATGTCTTGCAGCAAGACTTTTAAAGATGCTGCTGTTTGTTTGTTTAAACAAAATTCTACCACAGTGAGCTTACCAATAGGAAAGGCAAATGTGCTGTAAATAATTGGGCAGTGACAAACATGAGAAGAGATTGGTTGGGCCAAAGGGCTATCTAGGCCAGCATTTAGTACCTACAGTGCTTGCCAAATCTACAGAAGACTAGCACATATTCATGATTTTAAGACAATGATACTCTGCCATTGGGTAGCCTTAAAGGAACTATTATTTTCTGTCATCATTCTGCTATCACTATCAGGGATTAGAGAGACAATGTGTAGAATACTCAGAAATGGCTACATGCCAACCTTTATCACTATAAGTTGGCTAGATGGGTTAAGATCAAGAGCATAATACTATAGATAAGAACTCAAAATTAAGTCTTACTAAACTCAATGGGACTTTTCCTAAGGTTAGTCTGTCCTTAGCATCACTGTTGCACAAGAGAGAGGATTCTGACTCTCTGCTTTATCCCACTGCCTCCACATTGCTTTTCAACTTCCTCTGTGCACACATTCCTACAATTTTTATCAAAAATTGTATGTCTACTTACCACACAGCAAAGCAAATGCACTTAGAGCATGTTTTTTTTTTTAAAAAATACATGCTTATAAATACTCTAAACAAGTTATAATGCAGAAGTCAGAAATCAAACACTTATCTAAACTATTTTTAGGAATTTTTTCCTTTCTTCCCCCCCCCTTTTCTCCCTTTTTAAGTATTTGTAAATAACAATACAGTAGAGTTTTTGGTCCTAAGCTCAAAGATTTATAGTCTTCTTCAAATAACTTCATAAAATTCTTTCTGTTATGATCAATCTTCCATTAACGTTACACTGAGAATTAATTGTATAACTTTAGTGATTTTCACTGACCACTTATATCCACTTACATCTTCTAAATGTATATCTTTGTTTTAAATAAATAAAAGAAGAAAGAATAATTGTTTGTATAATGCAAATGAGTTCTTTTAGATCTATTTGAAAGGATACATATGTTAAAAATTAATGATAACAGCTAAATTAGAATCCATAAGGAAGATGAGATTGTTTATGAAAACATTCTGGGCCAACAAATTCTGCATCTACTGAAGAAAAAATAAGCATCCATTGAAGGAAAACTTGCTTTCAAGTAAAGTTGCAGTGGACTATACTTCAGGATTTTCTCCTCACAGAAAAAGAGAATCTCTCAGTTGTCTTGGAGACTTACTGGTTATTTTTCTTTTGCCTTTACTTCCTTTATTAGTAAGTCACCCATTCTTGAAGCAGGATAGGAAGAGGTTCACCTTTAAAAAATTGTAAACCTTTCAACTTTGGTATTGGAGAAGACTCTTGAGAATATGGTGGACAGTCAAGAAACAAACTGATGGATCATCTTACAAATCAATCCAGAAATCTCACCAGAGGCACAAATGACCAGACTCATATTATCCTATTTCAGACACATTATGTGATGATTTAACTCTCTGGAGAAAGCTCTAATGCTGACAAAAGTGGAAGGACAGAGAAGACAAGGATGACCAGCAGCAAGATAGATGGCCTCAGTTATAGTAGTGAGGAGTACATTGTTGGAAAATCTAAAAGACCAGGTGATGGATGCATTGTCATGGAGACAATGGAACTGAAAACAAATCGATGGCACATAATCAACCAATCAATCAATCCTGAAGGCTCTGAGCTGCTAACAGTCAAAAACATCTTCAAAAGAAGCTCTCCAACAATAAATTATCTGCCCAAAGCAATGATTTTTTAAAAAAAATCCCAACAGCCTTCTAAAGGACAAAGCAGGAGGAGGAATCCTGGAGGGAAAGCAGCCATTGCCATCTCATTCAAGACTTTTGGTAAAGGACTACCATCGATTTTCTTTGCTCTTTGCCCCCAGCAAGTGATATCTGCAAGTCGGATACAATGGCCCTAGTAAAGAACCGAATAAGCACTTTGGTGATGGAAGCAAGCGAAGAAATAGCAAATGGGTAGGTTGGAACAAGGTTGTGGAGCTGAAGTTCTATTGTATAAACATTCCAGGAAGCTATATTCAGCAAAATCCATAAATGGGACTTGCTCTTTTGCTATTCCCACTATAAATGAGCTACTTCGAATAAATCTCCTCGCCTTCCCATCGTCAACACATTTTTCTTACTCCTTTCTCAATAATTAATAGTTGTACATGAAAACATCACAAGAGCTTTCCTGCACGTATCTCTTATTGCCTTCTTGTTTCCCTCCATAGCCTTAGTTACCCTTTCACAATCCAAGTTCGATGGGACTCAACGAAATGATACACTTGCTTCAAAACATACAGGAGCAGAACTGCAGTGCCAGGATATAGGTTCTCTCAAATAAAGATGCCTTGTTTAGGATATTTGTACTTTTCTTGCATACATCATGACAGAGCTATTACACCTGACTAGCTTTGCAGGAGGGGCTGTCTGATCAAAAGCTTTTGCAAAATGTCACTAAAGTATTAAAACTCCAAAGGACAAGCTTGCTCATGGGAACATGAACCGAAATACGATACTCACTGTCTTCTGTGGCTTACTATTTTTTCCCCCGACTTCTTCTTTTAAAGAGAAACAAAAGTTAATTCCAACATGCTTGAAGAAGACCGGGAGATTAATATACAGCCCATAAAAATGCATCTCTGTGTTGCTGTAAACTGCCCGAAAGGCAGCCAATTGCTTAACTTTGTTAAATTGCACTTACCTGAACCATGAGCACAAAAAAGGAGGGGCAGTTTAATGACATCTAAGAACCTCATCACCACAGCCGGTCCTCCTGCTGGATGTTTTGGATGTTTATAGATAACCCACTTCCATCGAAAACACAAAAATAATTCTAAACCATAACA